TCCGACCTGTAATGAGTATGACTGTAATGAGAGTGGATGGCAATACTGATTAATGATCAACATTTGTTGCTTGATGTGCCAGATCACCTTCCATTTTTATCTTCATTTGTTGGTTGTGGGAGTAATTTGTTTTGTTAATAAATTGTATGTTTTGAGTATTTTTATATGTTTATGTCATGTACAGACTTAAATGACCAGGAAACAAGGTGTGGGCATCACAATCGGGAGGGAATGAGGGAGAAGTTCTTCCCTCCCTGCAACTTATTGGAAGAAATTGCAGGGAGGGATAAGTTTAAAAAACCTTTAAATAATTGTTTTAATAATAAGTTTAATTACATTTAGGTATATTTTAGTTTACCATCTTTTAAAGACAACAGAACTATGAAATTACATATAAAGATGTATGTATCAAAACAGCACTTTTAAGGTCTAATACATTTAATTTAATATAAACTATAATACATTTTCATTGAATTATAAATAAATAACATGCAGTTGACTTCTAATATAGAAGAATGTTTACGTTTGTTTAAAGCCAGAAACTACGTTTTTATTTCATACTTGTGTTGTATAGCCTATCAGAACAAAAACTCATAATGCAAACAAGTATGCAGTGCATTTTCATTATTGCCTATAAACTGTGTTCTTCTGCAGTCAAAGTTAAACTAGTTTACAACATGTCTATCATAAACTACCTGAATAAAATCTGCATTTGTGTACTTGGGTGGAGTATGCCTCTTTTCAGGGTAAAACTCAAGCCAGATGAAGCAACAGACCCGGAGAACAGACAGTGGTGTCACTTTGATCTTGTCACTTGCCTTAAAGTATTATATTAAAGTACATTAAAGGACATCTCATCTCAGCACAAGCCTGTTCAGGCATTCACACAGTTGTGTTAGCTGTACCACACGTGAGAGGGCCCGTTTCCAAGGCCTTTCTCCTTCTTGCCACGGCAGAATCCTCTTTTTTTTATTTCCCTAACTGGATTGATGCAGCACAGCATGACAGTATGAATCAGCCCTTCTTGACCTCATTTTGGCTTCTTGCCCTGAAACTGACTTGTGCGTGTAATACTGCGAAGTTCACCAAACATGACCTTGGGGCAAGAATGTCAGGTGATGACTAAAAGTGACAAAACAGACAAGCAAGCAACTAATATTTTCTCATTATTTCCCTTATAAGTAGAATTAACCGACAAAGAGAGCTTTTATTTTATTTTTTTATTCTCATGTATACAGCACTTTGGAACCCACTGTGGTTTTTGAAAGTGCTCTAAAAATAAAGTTGAGTTGAATTGAGAAAACAGGAAGCTGCAAGCACATATGACTTGCTGTAGGCTATACTCTGGTTTACAGCAAACATATTTATGCAAGGTAAAAGAAAAAGAAAACAGACCACATTAAACTTCTTAATATTTATTTTTTAGTCCAGTGCATTACAAGCTGATGAGAACATGACATTTAGGAGACATTTGGAAACTATTTGGTATTCTTATACAGCCTTGTCTTCTCTTGTGAAAAAGGCCTACACTTAAGAATACTTTAAAAAGAGCTATATGGAAATAACTAAACATAATGTTTTCAGACGCTTTATTGCATGTTAATTAAATGAAAATGTATTATGGTTTTAAATCTATATTCAATGCAGTTAGCTACATTTTATTGTGCTTTTTGACCCTCTTAAGCAGGACTTAAAGGGACAGTTCACACAAAAAATTAAAATTATCCCATAATTTACTCCTCCTCAACCCATCCTAGGTGTATATGACTTTCTTGTTTCAGCCAAACACAATTGGAGTTATATTAAAAAATATCCAAGTTTCTTGTTTCATAGTGGGAGTAGTGAGGGCCTGAGATTGTGAAGCCCAAAAAGCGCATCCATCCATCATAAAAGTAATCCATACGGCTACAGGGGGTTAATAAAGACCTTCTGAAGTGAAGCCATGCATTTTTGTAAGAAAAAATATCCATATTTACAACTTTATAAACTATAAACACTGGCTTCCGGTAATTGCCGTACACGAGTCTAGTTCCAGCGGAAGAGTGACCTTTGACCCGACGCATGATGTAGGATGTTGGAGTAGCGTAAGCTTAGTTGAGAGCAGATGCCCCTCGCGGTTCAAACAAATAGGGCTGGGCAACAAACTCAAGCTCCGACATTTCAGTTAAGAAATTCTCATTTTAGACTTCTAAGTCATGAGTCATGACTGATGTTTTGTTTTGCTCTATCTTCTGCTTCCGGGTTCGTCAATACGTCATGCGTCGGGTCAGAGGTCACTCTTCCAACTCGACTCGCGTACAGCCATTACCGGAAGCCAGTGCTTATAGTTTATGAAGTCATAAATATGGATATTTTTCTTACAAAAACGCATCACTTCAATTCAGAAGGACTTTATTAACCCCCTGGAGCCAGATTCACTTAGTGACTTTTTTCCCCCATTAATATTATATTATCTGCAAGTACGGTTTAATAAATGGTTTAAATACGGTTCGTTTTGATGTACACTGTGAGCACATTCAATATGTGCACTTATTCACAATGGATGTTAATAATTTAGTATTAATAGTAATAGTATACTATATTAATAGTATAGTACATTGTAATAGTAATAAATTACATTTTTGATTTTAAGGACATTTTTATTTATGCACATAAACAATTTTGGTACAGTGTTGTGTCGATGCTTGATGTCCAATGTAAAAAGTTGTTGATGATGCAACAAAGTTTAACTTTATGCAAATGAGCAACAATGTTCTGAGTCAACTACCAATGGGAGAGCAGACAGTGTCTCACCAACACAAATCCTTCGATTATACACACATAATAACAACAAAGAGTTACATAATAGTGTTACAGTACCACCCTGGGAACTTGATCCAAGTTTTGGTGGCAAATTGTCATGTTGAAATGAGTAACGCTGACACTTTGTGGCTGTAAATTGAACTGGGAGGGTAAAGCGTGCCAGATAACAAAACCATAGCTTCATCTTTAGCATTACCATCCAGCTTGATTCTGATCTGGAGAGTGTGTTATAATAGTTTATCTATTATTTGCATTCTGCTTGTCATTTCTGACATAAAAAAAAAAAAAAAATTCAGTCAAAAGTCAAAACCAGGTCAGTTGTATCATTTGTAAGCGAGCTGGACAAAGCAAAAATTACTTGTTCCAAATGAAGCACATGCATATGGTCTGTGGGTGTACACTGTGTTCTTGTTGTCTCACCACAAAGGCACGCTGAGTACAGAAAGTGCAGAAGGAAGTCACACGTATGCACGTACACGTTTATACATGTTGTCAACATGCAGCATTACCTATTATGTAACCAAATGGCCCACAAAGAATCATAAATTACTATTATGAGTCTTACTAATAGAGAAACTCTACAATTCTTGCTTGTGAAAGCCCGCAGTACATGTGCTTATGGAATATGTTTGTGCAATGCATGGCATACCGAGACATTTTCGGGATCCTCCACATTAAACTTGCTGACAGGGTGAAGGGTTGTGAAATATATGGTGCTGCTTTTTTCCCGGCCTTTACACTGACACACGACCCCTCCACGCAGCCCAAACAACAGGCTGCTTCGTCCTGCAGTCATTTGCAGACTAGATCATGGACTTTCATGATTTAAAAGAAGAAAGATAATACAAAGGTCAGTTGTATGTTCATAAAGCATAAAATGGGTAATGCACAACCTTATGATTCAACATTTTATGACATAGCTATTATGTGGAAGTTCTGAAATGGAGAAAAAGCAATCAGATGCAAAGCTTTAACCTATAGCCTTCGTTATCATATTTAATAGGCTTTGTGAAGGTCTCTAAACTATTAACATGATTGTAAAACCTCCTGAAAAATCTGTTGTCCTCCATCTAGCCTACTACATGCCTTCTGCCATCAGTGCCTTCAGGTGAGTTTGCTTCTGTTTGTTGACTTACATTTCACATCATTGTCCTTCACAGCACGTGATATATGTTGTAAAACATGTTTTTCCTCAGGCCCTGATGGAAAAGTCTGCCTGCAAGTTGTGTTGGTGGGTGCATTCACTCAGCCCCTTATGAGAAGAAGTACAGCCTACTTCAGCAGGCTTTTAAAAGGGGTAGCTAAATACTAAATAGTAGCTAAGTAGTTATACGTAACTACACATATGTAATGATGTAGTTGCAGCACGTGGGTTCTTATTTCAAACCACTGAAAAGGAGCACATCTGATTTGACACTTTGAAAATTAGGTTTAATGTTAGGGGAGCTGATATTTTTCAGTAAGGTTTGTTAGTAATTAACTGTTTGCACTGCAAAATGTTGCTGCGCAAGACACATAAACTTGACATGATGTAGTAGTACAACAAGATGAATATCAAACTCGATGTGCGCAACACACGCCAAAGCATGAATTTCAAAACGGGAGAATGAAAAGACAGGGCTTACAGAAAAATATTTAACACAAAAGAAAAACACAACATACAAAACTGATACTGTCTCTCTCTTGAAATGTATTTTCTTTTTTTTTAAAGAACTGATATTGCTTTTGTGAAATATTTCCTGCACTGCAAAACAACATGGTTAAAGCTAAAGTTAAAGCTCTAATCAGGTGACTTATAAGAACTCATAATTTTTAGTGTATACACCACACTGACGGGAAATATCGCCATCTGCCGGCTGACTAATGATGCCTAAAAATGTTTGAATGACGTTGCTCTCTTCTTAAAGAAATAGCTCACATGAAAATGTCATCATTTACTCACATTCAAGTCATTACAAACCCACATGATTTTCTTTCTTCTGTGGAACACAAAATAATATATTTTGTAAGAATGTCCACTCTTAGCCACTTATTTCCATATACCGGTAATGGGAGTGAATAAAGACGGGGAATGTCAAACTCCAGAATAAAACAATAATTAAAAAAAAAAATCACAAAAAAGTAGTCCCAGTGTTTTTTGTCACACACTCAAAACCACTCAGACAAAAAAAAAAAAAAAAAAAAAAAAAAAAAACAGATGAAGTTTCTGATACAGTTATAATTTGCAATTCAAGGCATTATCAGGTGTAAACATGAGATGCATGATATATGGTCTGTAGTGTCCGCTCCTATATGACAAAAAGGAATCCTGGCTTCTGTGTGTTCCCTTTTTAAGCAGAGCTTTCCAATTACAATAATTAAATTAAAAGCATAATTAAAACTGTCTTTCAGTAACATTCCAGCACACTGTTAGAATAGCAGCAGTATCTGAGTCCATCATACCGTTTGAACAGCATCTCAATAGCAGCATTGATTCTCTGATCTTAATTACATTAGTCATGAAATTAAATTCAGTCCCCTGTATTGACCTGATTCAGTATGTGTCAAGTTGAAACAAAGAACATGCCTGAATTAAGACACTTCTTAAAATACATTCTTTCAGTCTCACTCATAGAAATATGTATCCCCCAGTGATGTCCACATTAGTACACAGCTTCGTCCATATTGTCATCACTATCTGCTCCAAATTCCTCTCCGTTGTCAAAGTAAGACATGATGTAGTCTGTCTCCTGAAAAAAAAGAAGAAAGAAGTCATATGTGTAAATGACAGCAGCACAAATATTGTTGAAAAAGTATGTTTTGTGTCAAATTATGAAAAACAAATTCTTACATCTTCAATCTCCTCTTCAACATAATCTTCATCCGCATCTGGCTCCTCCTCATTATCCTGTTTCTTCTTCTCCTCTTCCTCCTCTTCCTCAGAATGCTGCTCTTGTTCTCTTTTCTCAAGTGTCTAAATGTTATTCCATAAAATGAACATTACTAACATGCTGCATACACAGATTAAACAGCAGCATTTAAAAAAAAATATATATATATATATATATATATATATATATATATATATATATATATATATATATATATATATATAAAAATATAAATAAGGACAAAGCAAATGGCTGATTTGCTTCGTTTGTTACAATTGTCAATTTAAGTTTTGGTATAGTTTGTGTTTCTATTTAAAGTCTTTCAATCTGTTTTTTTCTTCTTCTTTTTTTCTCGATTTATTTGAATGTCCAAGCATGTTTTAAACAGTTAATGCAACATAACAAAATATTATGGTGTCAGTAAACTCGTACCTCTAGTTTTTGGAGAACCTCTTCTTTGCCAGCAGCTACTTTTGGTTTTCGCTGGAGTTGTGGCTTAGCACCTATGACTACGGAACAAAGGTATTAAAAAGACAAATGGTTAACTCCTATTTTAACATGTATTGGGTAGCATTTAGTACATTAGACTGTGAACCTACGCACATGGTAATAATAATAATAATAATAATAGAGTTTCTCACGTGTTTTTCGGGGTTTCCGTACTTTAATACAAAGCTCTTTTGGCAGTCGGCTCCAGTCTGGAATGAAATCAAATATTTTTAGAGAGACCTGACTTTTACATTTTCTTGACTATAAAAATTAATAAGTCAGTTGTGGCACAATAAATAATGAATATTTCTCATTAAAATTCCTCTACAGTGGTACATGGAGTCTGTGGTCGGTAATATTTTTTTTAAAGAAATCTCTTATACTCACCAAGAGCAAAAATACAGTAAAACCAGTAATACTATGAACTAATATTACAATTTAAAATATGTTTTCTGTCTGAATACATTTTAAAATGTAATTTATTCCTGTGATGGTAAAGCTGTATTTTCAGCATCATTACTCCAGTCTTCAGTGTCATGATCCTTCAGAAATCATTTTAATATGCTGATTTGCTGCTCAAGAAACACTTATTATTATTATTATTATTATCAATGTTAAAAAAAATGGTGCTGCTTAATATGTTTGTGGTAGCAGCAGATACATGTTTTTCATGATTCTTTTATGTATAGAGAGTTTAAAAGAACAGCATTTATTTGTAATGGAAATCTTTTATAACATTTTAAATGTCTTTACTGTCACTTTTCATCAGTGGTCTGTGGTGTCCTTTTAGATATCAGATACCAGTCCTTGGAATTCACAGCTTTAATACATTTAAATCACAAAAAGACAAAAAGCATCCTGAGACTTGAATGCAGTGGAGGATTTCAGGTTTCCATGTTTGACTGTTGAATTTCCTCTGCTTTATTATCTGTTATGTCTCACCTGGACTCCATTCAATTGTGTTGTTCTTCGGCTCACCATTTTGGTATTTATCAGAGTACCGTGCCACATCTAAAAAAGAAGACAATAAAGAGAGCCGTTCAAACCTGGTCTTTGACCATCCATGCCTGATGGGTCGTTGGCTTTGAATATTTCAGTGACTGCCCACAGTTCAAATGCAAATCCAGATTGCATGACCTTATTCTCTATGGCCCTGTTTACACCTGGTTTTGGTCGATCGGATCACAAGTAGACAAGGGAGACACATACCCGTTTACACCTGGTATTTTAATCCGTCTCTTTTGTCCACTTTCAACCACTTCCTGATTTCTTCTACGGGAGGCTCTATGGGCGGGTAAATGTCTGGGCTTTTTAAGATCTTTCGATCTAATAAATGAAATAAGCTTGCATAATTTACATATATATGCGCTCAGAGACGACGGAAAAATATACAGAGCAGCAGCTTTCATTTCTGCTCTGATATGCGCAAGACCATGCCGAACGCTGTGAGTTTGTGTTAGAAATCAGGAATGCATTATGCTTTGTAGGTTTTCGTCTTCAAACCAAACCCGTCTGGCTAGCATGCTTCCCATAATGTTTACGCATTAGGCCAGTAGTCGGAGAATAGGCAGTATTTTGTGGCTGTTCAAACGCGTTTTAACTACCTCTGGAAGTGGTAGAAAGTGGATAAGCTCAAAACGTTTAAGCCCCCGTTTACACCTGTATTTAGCGTCGTCCATTTGTGATCCGATCGACCAAAACGCATCTTAATACCAGGTGTAAACAGGGCCTAATCATGTTGGATCTTCCTCCTTTGTGCTTAGAATTGTCCACTCTGTGTGCTCAGTATTGCCCACATGTTGCCTCAACCCATCGTACCTGTCTTTGTTCTGGCTGCTCTTATGTGGAATGGCAGATTCTTGCTGGAGGCTCTCAGCTCCTGCTTCAGAGCGAGCATATAGTCCACTTCTTCTCCTGTAAGCAGAGGCACTGGTCTAAATTGCATAGGCTGAAAGAAAGAAAAAAGAAAAGATTAAACTCAAACAAAAACAATCAGAACAATCAATTCTCACAAATCCGTAATAAGACATTTATAGCATTTGTATGTGTAATAACAACAATTGTAGTAAGACTGTAAAAAACTGTTTCTTGGTTGAAAGTAAGTTCCCTTACTCTACGAAAAACTGTAATAGATCTAACCTTACATTTCATGTAATTTTACAGTAAAATACCATTTATGGAAGTAAAAACAGAACAAAGTCTATAAAGATTTCACATTCCCAGAATTCCCTGTGTGACATTTTACAATTGGTAGTTTTTTATTTTAATAATTATGTTTCTTCTTAGTTTGTAATCAGTTATGTACAATAGGGTTTTATGTTACATCTTATGTTTTTAAATTAGTGTTTATTGCATTATTTTAGTGTCTTGTGTGTAACTGTGATGGTGTTTTGTATTTGTGTGCAGGACACTGTGTCTTCATATTAGTATTTACCTTAGCTTGTGGAAAAGATGAGAACTACATCATGTGTTTTCTCTTTACCACCAGTGTTATTATGGTGGATGTCAGTATATTTTAAAGGTACATAACAGATTTTAGAAGCTTCACTAATTCAGCAGAAAAGGGCTGTTGGATTTATCTGTTTTAAATTGTAAAATGTACATGTTTAAATCACATCTAACATGTTTAAACCACAGCTGCCAGTTTTTTTCTTCTTAAATTTTGTAAAGATATTTTTAACAGACTATATTACAATGTAAAGACACTCATATTACCATTAAAACACTTACGGGAAAAAGAGGAGAAGGTGTATGTGTAGATGTTGGTAAAGAATCACCCCTCCCAAAACCCAGTGCGTCCACACTGAAGGTAAACTGGCTTCTTCCACGACCTCTACCTCTACCTGCCATGACTGTACCTGTACAGTCAACACATGTGCATGAGCATACAACTAGCCAACAGCAATAAAAAACATTCCATGATGAAACCTGCAAGATACAAACACAAAGATAACTTTATTTTAAGCAGTAATATTTAGATTAGTCACTGAACAGCTTACCTCAAAATGTGTTTCAGGTTCAATCCCCCAGTAAAGATCTGCACTGATCACCAGCTTCCTGCTGAATGTAAAGCCATGTGTCATGAAGGCACAGTCATTAGGAGCCTACTGTGCACGTGGGTAGTTGTGTTTACATCCGGCACATGTACACGTGTGGTCCGTCTCAGTGTACAGTCCAACCAGAAAGACTCCTCGGGCAAAAAGTTCCTAGCACTAACAGCAGGCATTACATTGCTACTACAACTGTTACAACTGAGGATATTACAACATATTTGATTTTAATGGTGTTGTAAACTTTATTTTTTGAATACACCTATAAAATATCGCTACCTGACAGATATCACTGAAATTAGTGTCGTGATAAATCACGTGGAGAGTAACGTTACATGTTGCGAGTTGTTGGAGGGTGGAGTTATATAAATAAATAAATAAAGTATTTTTATGTCACAATTAAAAAAAAAATATGTCTCTCTTGCCATTCTGATGCACACCTCCCCCTCCTCAGATTTGCGAGAAAAATGTCAGAATTGTTTAAATTCCGTGGTGTTTAAAATATTCCACACACAACAGACGTTTGAGATAACAAAAGATAAGATATTTTATTTAACCAATTTATATAGTTTGTGGTCGCAGTTTTTTTTAAGCTACACTAATCCTGAAAGATTCAAGTGTCAATAGATTTAAACGATTATATGGTGTATATGGTAGTGTGTATATTGTGAATAAATGTCTAGTGCACTAAGTTTTCACAATTGCTAAAACAAACCCCATTCACTGAGCAAATTCTTAATGGGATAATTCTTTCTGCAAAACCTTAAACAAGTTCACTTTAGACAGTTACACAATTTGCAAATCTCATGCACTCTTTTTTGCTAAACTCTAATTCTCTAAAACTGTAATTCTGGATGCTCTGTTCTCCTTTTTCTTTGTATGTAGTGTGTCTAATGCATGATCCGTAGAGTTTACCCATTGGCTGTGTGAATGAGCTGAAAGCAGTTTCATTTTGAATAGGCCTACAGGCGAAAGGAGGATGAGGATATTGTTTGATTTTGTCAGAAGAGTAAGGGGTGAATTTAGTTTAAAGATTTGGATTTGTGCTTAAATGTTGTGATAAAATGGGTGAAGGTTTCAAGAAATGTGTCTTTGCAGTTGTGAAAAACTAAGACAAAAACGTCGTGAGATTTGAGGAGCCTTTCTGAGTGTCGAGCGCCCCCTGGAGGAGAAGAACTAGGCCTATTATGTCACAGGATATACAGTTCAATATTATGGGTATTCCAGCAGGTGGCACAATGGTTGCATCTACTTAAATTATTTCACATTATTGAAACTGACAAAGGGATCTGGCATGACCAGCAACAGGAAATGTCCATTTGTTATACCTTTGATGTGAGCAAATTATTTTGCCTATTGCCAAAGTCAGATATTAGAGTGGAAACTTGAGTTATGGAATGTAAGTACAGTCTTGAACTTTACACTCTTTCACCAATGAGCCACAGAATAAAAGCAGACAATTAAAGGGATAGTTCACTTTGAAATTAATTTTTGATATGTTTTAGCTTACCTAAAGGGCATCCAAGATGTAGGTGTCTTTGTTTCCGCAGTAGTTTCAATTTTGATATTTTTAGGTCAAACCGTTCTTGTCTGTCAGTCATATAATGCAGGTCTATGGTCACTTCCTCAAAGAGCATGTACAGAGAAGTCCAAATTAAACATGATTTAATGACTCGTAAATGTAAGTACACATTGATGGCCTAAGACATGAAACGAGCGGTTTGTGTGAGAAAACGAACAGTATTTATATCGTTTTTACCTCTTGTAACCACAGCCACATCCAAGTGATCTGAGGGCGCGGGCGCTTCGGTCTGTGCATTACAAGAGGTAAAAACGATATAAATACTGTTCGTTTTCTCACACAAACTGCTCGTTTCGTGTCTTAGGCCATCAATGTGTTACGAGTCATTAAATCATGTTTAATTTGGACTTCTCTGTGCATGCTCTTTGAGGAAGAGACCATAGACCTGCATTATATGACTGACAGACAAGAACGGTTTGACCTAAAAATATCAAAATTGAAACTACTTTTTTGAAGAAAGGTCAAAGAAGAATGAAGGATGTTTTGAAATTTAGTTTTTTTCTCAAACTATGTCAAAATGAATGAAATGATAAAAAAAGCAGATTTTTCTCATTTTATTCATTTTGACATACTGAATATATGTTTAATGTTTAACAATATGTTTCCATGACAACACATCCTGTGCAGTGCACATGTATCCCTCTCCTTAGGGTGCAGCTGACCATTGTCAGCCATTGTCATACGCATTAACCTCTGGTTAAACACAGCCAAGTTATACCGTTTTGACGCAAGCATTTTTCACAGTATTGCATGCGTGCAGGTCAAACAAAATGGCTTTGACGAAGGTCCATGGATCTCAGTGAAGAACAATGAAAAAGAATTGATATGATTCATCATCAGTTACTAACTTTAGGTCCTATAAAGCCACGCCTCCATCCATGATTGATTGACAGCTGTCAGCCTCTCTTGATAAAAGCTTTGCAAATAAAAGATTACACTTCATTTACCATCAGAACAACTCTACACAAGACACAGGAATACTTCAACATCCAGTGAATTTGAATCCAGTTTCTTCAGGATGAGGCACATTGAGTTGCATTACACCGGGGCAGCATTGTTCTTCCTGCTGTTTTCTGCTACAGGTACGTTAAAAACTTTACATTTAATGAAATATCTTCAGGATATCACTTTAGAGTTTGTGTGAACAGACTGTTATGGTAACTCACTTTCTCATTTTTATTTCATTGACTGACTTCCACTTTCAGCTCAACCCGATCACACTAAATGCGTCTCTATAGCACGCAGTGTGTTTATCGTGTAATTTATACGCGAAAATGAGTTTTTACGTGCATAGGATACGCATGTTGGTTAGGGTAGGTTTAGTAGTGGTGTGTGGGGTGCGTGTGTATTATACGTTATTATACGCGTGAAACAATATGCTTTATTGCTTATATTATGAGAAAAGTTTGTGACAGTCAGTAATAAAAAAAAAGCCAGTATTTGGAAAATATCACAATGTTTGTAAACCAGGTTTGTTCAAACCGTACAATCGCAGGAATTTTTGTAATAAAAAATATTTAAAAAATATTATGCTATTTAAAAAATGTCTGATCTCAATACATTTTTGATACATTTAAAATAAAACATAATATGCCCAATTTGCAACTAGTGTCATAGTCTTGAATACTTAAAACTCTTATTTTCATGGAGATTTGTGAATAAACATTACCCATCAGAATAACATTTTGGAATTTAAATGTCCTGACATTGACATGCGCTGGATTATGACTATTTTGGGGGAAAATACACAACCACAAAACATAAAACGACCAATTTCATGAGTAGACCTAAAAATTTATTAAATAAATAAATGCTACATAATTTTGTGACTGAGTCTTTTCCCCTAAATAGTAATAATCTAATATATAAATATAGTCACCATCTAATAACAGTAACAATAAATACATTAGATGGTGAGATGGTTGCTAACATGGCAATGAGTAATCATATTGTATTTGTAGGTGCTCAGCCCTTGAGCATTTTAAAGATTATTGAGGGGCTCCAGACACCCCCAATGACCTACTCTACACCCCTTTACTCATTTTCCCTGTGCATGGAGATCACCAACCGTGTCTTCAACGACTCCCTCCTCAACACAACCTCGCAGCAGTACAAGCGGATGTATACAGAGGTTTCTGGAGTTGTAAGTGTTTCCTGCGATTTGTCATTGAATAGATTTCCCCATTTTACACATAACAGCAACAACATTTTAAGTAGCTACATGTAAATTGCTGTTGACCCTATAAGAGACCTGTAAACATGATTTTGTCTGACTTTCACAGTTGGACTTGGCCTTTAATTGCTCTAACTGTGACACAAGAGAAACTTACAGAGGGGTAACAAATATACAGTTCAGGTAAACCTCATTTGATTCTTTTTCTAAAGGGGTTTGTCAGTTGGTCCTAAATGAACTGAGAATTTAAGTGCATGCTCTTGTGAAAAAGAAAAAGTGCACTTAAACTGTATTTGCGGAATATTAATGAAATAAAAAGAGTACACTTTCATAACTGTTTCTTAATACACTTTTAAAAAAGTGCACTTTGTAATGTCAAATCAAAAAAAATATATATTATAAAGTATAGGCTACAGTTTAAATCATTTAGTAATCTTTTGTCGTGCATTAAAGACGTACACTCGTTTTGATGTGTCGACTAACATAAACTAAAACACATGTAAAGTGCTTGATTATCATTTGAACTGTTATTTGATATTACATTTAAAGTTAATATATTTTAAATGTAGCCTACTAAATGTACCAAATTTCAAAGACAATAAGTAAAATACAATTAAATTATAATTAAATGTAGCCTATACAATAATACATTTTATTTAGTTGCAATTAACATACAATAGTTAAATATATTGTTTTAAAGAGATTATTATTTCGGTATAGAAATGCTCTTTTTAAAAATATGCTAAAGTGTACTTTTTTTGACACAAGGATGATGTTACTGCATTATATATTACAATCAATTTGGCAAAATGTTGTTTCTTGTTTGATTACAGGAGCGGGCCTATGATCGCGAATTGTACCATTCAGTTTCAGACCATTTTTATCAACCATGTTGTGATCAAATATTTGTTCCTGCGAGCCATAGATAGTAATACTCAACCAAATGGTCTTGCACTCAACAGACAGTACACTGCTGGTGAGTATTCTTCAGGGTCAGGCAAAGTTCAGAATTTATGAATTGGATCTCTTTTGATTTATCACTATCAATGTAAATATGGATTAAACTGGCATATGTGCATTTTAGAATTAACCTATATTATTACCTAAATTATAAATATATATATATATTTTTTTAATGTAGAAACGGTCACACCTGCCTGGCTTTCTCCAACATCCACAACTCCTATGGCTCCAGCAACTCCCTTTGCAGGAAGTGCTGCTCACTTTGCAGGAAGTGGTTCTCATTGGCTTCCTGGTTGGGCCATTGCATTGCTAGTGTTAGCATGCGTCATCATACTGCTTCTCCTCATCATCTTACTACTGGTAAAAACGTAACATTTACACTTCGCTTTATAAACTCACAAAGTACCCTTCGTGACAATGAAGTGCCCTTAATTGTATTCAATGTGCACTTGTAGTGTATTTCAAAATTTAAAAGTATTGTTAAGAAACTGTACTTGCTGATATAATATATTATGTTGAAAAAAAGAACACACTTAACACACTTAAGTATGTTTTTAAAAAATGCACTTTGTAATGTAATGTTTTTAATGTCATATTAAAAGGTGTACTGTAGGCTACAGCACATCTTAATTCAAATTAAAAATGGTTTTTATTAAAGTACACTTATTTTGATGTTTTGACTAGCAGACTAAAGCTCATGTGAAGTCCTTGATTTGAACTGTAACTCAATATTTACTTAAAATTAATATATTTTAAATGTAGGCTACTAAATTGCAACTTCATAACAAATTTGTAATTATATGATGTCTATTATATTATATTATAATTTATAAATGATGTATATTTACATACATGAAATACAAGTTTCAATAGAAATTACATCAAAGTATTTTAATTGATCATAAATGCTTGTCAGTACATCCGGCAGTACACTTGAACCATATTTCAAAGATAATAGAAGCCATTATAAAATTACATATAAAGATGTACTTAAACCCTACTTAAGTGCGTCAAAAAAGCACACTTAGATTCAACTATTGAATTTAAATTTAAACTAGAATACATTTTTATTTAACTGCAAATTAGCAAAACATTACATTCACTTTAGACTTAAGTATATTACTTCTGTACTCTTACTTCACCTTCTTTTTCACAAGGGTAATAACAGGAAAAATGTGCTCATGTAGAATGATGCTCTGCTATAGTGTGATATCTCATTTCCATCTCTCCAGATATGCTGTTGGTCCTGTAGGAGAAAAGACAAAAAGGAAGAAACAACCAACATAGTAGAACATGCACCTTATCAGAGGACATCTTTCAAAGAACATCTTGCCAATCCCACATATATGCCACACACACCTGAGAGAAGCCCAATCTACCCAGTCTTGGTAAGAACCAAATGTCATTTCTGATGGCAGAAATATAAGTTAAAAAAATCTATTGAGAAATTTGGTCACACCTCTATCCTAAAAAAACATTTAGTTAACATCAGCATTAGACATTGCGATTCAGTCATGCATGTTTTCAAACATAAATCATCTTTTTATCTACGATTTGTGCAATTTGGAATCGTTCAGATCATCAGAACATTTGTGCTTATAACATACTTGTGCATCCTCTATGCTTAAATAGATTGGTACAATATTCAATAACTTCACTGTTTCGATTTTATTCAATGAATGAAACGGCTGAATATTCAGAACACAGACAACTTGAATGTTAAGTCAATTCAACTTAAATGACATTAAACTGACTTTAAAAAGATGAGTTGAATCTTGTATAACATCAAAAAAGTTGAAAATTGCTTAACTTATTTTGATGAGAGCAATGAAAGCAATGTAAAAAACATATGTTGTCATAACTTATTGAACGTGTAATATGCGTATGATTCTATTATTATGATCTCTTCTAAGCGTTGTATCGTTTCTTCAACAGGGAGAACCGGAAGTACAGCATGGCAGCCAAGCCGGGATGTATGCGATGAACCCTCAGAGATGATAACCACAATACCACTATAAGAGAGGTATAAAACAAACTTCTGCAGACAACATTATAGACATCTATAACTTATGTATTATATACAGGTTAATAAAAGTTATAGGCAATATAGATCCTGCATTTATCAACAAAAATGAAACAACACAAATTCTCATTTGAAACAATAATAATAAAGTTGACATTTTCTCAAGCCGGTCTCAGAATCCAAGGGAGAGGTTTGGAGTGACTAACAGGTTTGCCAATGATGGAGGGAGGCTTACAGGGAAATGCGTAGTTGCTGGGAGAGCAGATCTATTCATTATGAACAAAGAGACACTAGCAACACAATGCAGATTAAATACATAAACTTGGTTAGTTAACATGAGGTCAAGCCCTCCATTCAATGAACTGTTTACCATTGGGACCATAATGCTTGCACAATATGGTAACACAAATATGGGCTTTAATGCTAGTAAATATATTTCATAAAGCTAGCATTGAATTAGGATTAAACTATGTATGCAGTTCTTTTACATACGATTAATATGTTGCTGCAGTGTCAAATATTGAATGGCAATGATTTATAGCTGGGAAAAGCTCCATGCTGATTGCTTTAAACTGATGAGTGAAGTGGGAGTAATTATTTGAGGTTACTTAAATTATTTGAGATGATTTAGCTTTAATTAAAAATAGTCATAATAATGATTTTTAACAATGTGTCAACTATTTGAAGCTGCTTGTCCTCTGTAGGGTCGTGGTGAAAAATAAATGAAATGATCTTTCTTATTTACGCTGGTGCGTTAACCTTGTACAATACACTAAAAATAACAAAAGTCCAGGGAGTGGCTTAAGCTATTAAAACTCACCCTTCTCACGTCATTTACGTTGCTTTATTTTACACAGTTCACATACACAACCTAATACATACATACTGACCTTTGTGATATTGTTAACATTAAACACTGAAAATACGGTAACAGTATGTTGAATCTGGTTCAAAACATCAACTGATGTAACATTGGTATTTAGTAGAACACTGACAAGTTTACGAGAAATATTTCAGGAGTCTATATACACTGGTGTAATAAATACTAATGTAAATAATGTGGTCTTTGTTTCAGAGCCATGAAATAACTGACGCTACGGAGGTTCAGGACGGTAAAGCGGTTTCTCTCGTAGAAGATGCTGGTTTCTTCAAAAAGATTCTAGAAATGTGGACTTGTCATCATTACCATGTTTAATATAAGTATTATACTCAACTTAAATGGAACTTTATTTATTGTCACACAGATATGGGGATTTAGGTCTGTGAACTTTTGCAGCTCTTTCTCAGTATAATATACCAGGGTTAGTTGTCACACTTTTTACTTCAATAAATATTTTTTTCCGGTTAGGTTAATTCTCGAGAAAGCCCCATTAACATTTCCACTGTTTCCCCCCCCAAAATAAATTTAATATATGTTGTTTCCTACAGTGGTGCATGTTGTCAAACTATGTTGTTTATTATTATTCATTTTTAGTTTATTTGAGACAAATACATTTTTGAAAGATAAAATACTGAGTTTTTTTTAAATTCCATAACACGTGTTTTTAAAATGTAAACATTTATATATACATTTATATCTATAGGACAGGGGATTTTAATCTGGGGACCCACAGGGTGAATGTAAGCGTAAAAAGTTTATAAATAAATAATAATAATAAAAAGATGTAAAAAAATATATTAAAAATAAGATTAAAATAAGTAAATAAATATTATAACAGTACCGTACTAAGGAGTAGGAAAAGATGTAATAATGCAACTTAATAGAAACTAAATATTTTCCCAAATAGAATTTTAGACCGATTTATGAAATTAATTTTTCAAAGTATAAATTGGATCTAAAAGATGCCTTTTGAATTTTGGCACAAGGGTGATCATATGTGGGGGTCCTTGAAATCTGAATGTTTGAAACCCTCTCTGAATATGAACTGGTATGCCGATGAAATTTACTCAAACAGTAAAGGAATTAAAAAACAAAATAATATATAAAGCAGCAATGATGTAAAAGGTGACTCAAGTTAAAACCATTGTTTTGCCAACATGAATTGCAATCACATGTAAAACAACAATCACTTCCCTATGTGACAACTTGCCCCGGTCTCTTTGATATCTTAGGCTACAGAAGAAGAGTAATGGTTTGCTTTTATGTATCTCCAGATTACAAGGTTATCAATCCATAAACCTCTTTTCAATTGTAATTTGCATTCATGTTATTTGTATGGACATTTACACTTTCTGTGGGAATAATAATTATAATATTTAATGCAAAATGTCAGAAACTATATATTACATATAAATAAATACAGCATACAGTACATGATTTGTTGTTTCTGTTCTTTTGCAAGGATTACACAACTGTGAAATTCTAAATGGACTTCAATGAAACAGTCTTCTGGTTGATTACTGTGCAACACTTATAGAACGTTATTGGGTTCAGTCTGAGAACAAATGGAAAAATATTCAATATCCAATTTAAACCTAGAAATATCAAAGCTTTAGGATTTAAAACATAAATAGAACAACTAAAACAAATAAATGTAAAAAATGTTTAAGATTTATAATCTATGCCAATAATAAAAGTAAATGTGTAACGTTGATCAGATGTACGCTTCCGCAGCTGCAAGATTATTTGCACAAAAGTTTATGTACCAGAGAATTAAAAAGTAACAGAATTCATAATCTTGCTTAATTTACAAAGTACTTAACCTCAGCTTGTATCAAGGGCAATATCTCTTCAATTAGTGTCAGTTACTTTAGATAAAGAGTCTGTTAATTTAAAGTGGCATTGAGCTCTTAAGCAATTAAGTATATTGTATTGTTCAACATAAGACTTATTGTAAGCTTAAATGTTAGAATTAGTCATTATTCCCAAGTATGATAAAAAAGCAATACTCTAACTCTAATGTACTCGCAAAATTCTAACTCTGATCAATACTCTAACTCTAAAATCAATGCTCCAACATCCACATTCCCTCAGATAGTAAGCACTAAGCAGTTTGTTACTATGGGTGGTGGATGCAGGACTGAGGTTGGTTTGGTACAGTCTGGTGTTCCTCAGGGATCAATGTTGGGTCCTGTACTCTTTAGCATTTACATTTTTCCAGATGGTCAACTCTTAAGATCACTCAGTCTTAACTTTAATTTTTATGCAGATGACACCCACATCTACAAACATTCAAAACCTGCTAATAATAATGTGGCTATGGCCTTTCTTTCTCAATGTATTTCTGAGATTAAAAAAAAAAAATGGATGTCTAAAAAATTTGTTTTGTCTTGGCTCACCCTACCAGTTAGGTAAAGGGTCTTTAACCTTAAAGTCCCCATGAAAAAACATGAAGTTTTTGGGCTTTTAGTATGAATATGTTAGCCTTACTGTTATCTATAAGCTAGCATGCTCCAATACAATGACAAAATGCATTTAGAAGATACAAGCGTTAAAAACTTACAGGGCCCTATCATACACCTGGTGCAATGCAGTGCAATGAAAGCAAGTGTTTTTATTGCTAGTTTCAGCCCGACACAGTTATCATTTTCACGTCCTGCGCCCCGTTGTTTAAATAGCAAATGCATTTGCGACCATTTGTGTGCCCATGGGTGTGCTGGTCTGAAAACGAGATGTGTTCAGGCGCATTGTTGGCGCGTTGCTATTTTGAGGCAACTGAAATAGACTGCGCCATTGACCAACAAAAACCTGGTCTAAAGTCAATGGCACAATATATATTTTTTGTTATTTAAAGAGCGCGTTAGTAATGTGCGCCTGTAGGCGGGCCCACAACGCGTGTACACTCTGCTTATTACACACACAGGGACGCCCGCAGTAGCACAAAAACATGCCAAATATTAAAAATAAAAGGATTACAATGTAAAGGATTAATATTGTGTACAAAAAGATATGGTGGAATCCGGCTTGTCCTGTAGATGGTCTGCTTGCTCGCTTTAACCTCGCGCATGAGCAGATCCGTTTCCTCTCTGGAGACGTGTTCAGTCTTTTCGCTTGCAAATTCTGCCATGGCACGAGCGCAACTGGCTTTTAAAAGGAATGGGAAATTACACTCTGATTGTTTTTTGTTTTTTTTTGCATGTTACGCCCAAAACACACCCATTACTCATTAAGAGAATAGGGACAACCCTTTTAGACCATGCTCCGGGTGCGCCAACCATTTTTGAATTCGGACACGCACTAAGTGCACTTGCGCCGTGCGCTTCAGACCATGCGCTTAGATCGTTAAAATAGGGCCCACAGTCTCTCTTCCGCCAATATGGATCAATGATTTTGATAACATCACTCTGCACTTCAGCTTCTGATCAGATTTTCTGTCCAATCAAATGCTCTCTAGAATCTAAAGAGTCCCGCCCCCACACTATAAATATGCTGCATGCTGCAGCTAAAATCGGTCACTTATTTACTGTTTTCTGTGTTACACACATACACAAATGTTACACACGTTTACTATTTTCTACATGGTGAATGGCACAGTGTTTCAGACTGTTTCCAACGATTTGAAACACAGACTGAACGCAACTGTCTCTGACTCGGCGCGTTTGGGCATGATCAGTCGTAAGTATCAAATTACATTCATAATCAGCCTTACAGTCGTTAAGTGTGTCCGTGATTATTGTTGAAGTAAAAAAAAAAAGTAAAAAAAGTTAGAGGTGTAAGTTTATTAAAATTATTTATAAACGTAATTTTTATAAAATACATACTTTATGAAACATGTTGAACTCTAAAACAGCTAGAAAATCAAAGCTATAAATCCAAATAATTTGTGTTCCGAATTTTACGTTTATATATCAAAACATTAGATTTCAGTAAGATTTTGTTTGGGTGCGGCACCAAATTTTCCCCATTTGCCATGCAGCAAAGTTCCACTGATGCACACAGTGGTTGGATTTATGATTTGCAGTACAGTAGAGTTTTCTCTCTCTCAAATATTACACGCACACACACACTGTTTTTTTTATTACACACATACAAACCAAACTCTGACATCCATACCAACACACCCACACAATTAAAGCCACATAATTTAGCCAATTGGCTCTACAATATGCAGAAGCAGAACACAGGAATAAAGCAACTATTTTGTTTATAGGCCAAACCTGAGAAAATGGCACCATCTGGTAATTTTTTTTTTTTTTTTTTGTCTTTTTTTTTACAAGTTTTAATTTTGAAGCCTTGCCAACAGAATGAAAGCCTTGTAATAAAGCTTGCATCATTTTATAGTTAAATGACCCTGGGATAAAAATTTGTGCTTTTAATGGGTTTTGTTCTTAAAGGGTTAGTTCAAGCAAAAATGAAAATTATGTCATCAATGACTCACCCTCATGTCGTTCCAAGCCCGTAAGACCTCCGTTCATCTTCGGAAACACAGTTTAAGATATTTTAGATTTAGTCCGAGAGCTTTCTGTCCCTCCATTGAAAATGTATGTACGGTATACTGTCCTTGTCCAGAAAGGAAATAAAGACATCATCAAAGTAGTCCATGTGACACCAGTGGGTTAGTTAGAATGTTTTGAAGCATCGAAAATACATTTTGGTCCAAAAATAACAAAAACTACGACTTTATTCAGCATTGTATTCTCTTCCGGTTCTGTTGTCAAGCCGCGTTCACGAGTCGGCAGTGACGCTGATGACGTAAGGCGCTGCTGACGTGTATCTGGTGCGTCCGTGTATTCGGGTTCAAATAAATATGGCTTGGCAAAAAAATGTAAGTCTTCCTCTGTGTTGAAATCCTTAGATATGTTTGCGAAGATTGTTTTGTTTACAGCGTGTGTCTCCCTCAGACTGTAAACGAAGCTTGGGCGCACCAGATAACACGTCAGCAGCGTCTTACGTCAGCAGTGTCACTGAACGCGGCTCGACAACAGAACCGGAAGAGAATACAATGGTGAATAAAGTCGTAGTTTTTGTTATTTTTGGACCAAAATGTATTTTCGATGCTTCAATACATTCTAACTAACCCACTGGTGTCACATGGACTACTTTAATGATGTCTTTATTTCCTTTCTGGACAAGGACAGTATACCGTACATACATTTTCAATGGAGGGACAGAAAGCTCTCGGACTAAATCTAAAATATCTTAAAATGTGTTCCGAAGATGAACGGAGGTCTTATGGGCTTGGAAGGACATGAGGGTGAGTCATTAATGACATAATTTTCATTTTTGGGTGAACTAACCCTTTAAGGTCCTGAGTGGAACTATTTGTGTTACTGTAAAATAGATTTATTAAGGGAAATGGGATTTAAATAGTTAAATTCCAATAAAAATGCACACTTGTGCCAAAATGTATGCAGTTATCCATAAGGTCGCACAAGGATTAATGTAAGCTGTGCCTGCATTCAAATACACTACTATGTGCTGAGTAATCATCCCAAATCAGAAAAAAACAACTGCAATGCCAGACATCTCTGACAAAAAACTCGGACTCTCAATAGAATGTCAATAGTTGACAAAGTCAGAGGTGCTGCACCTACTTCTATCTTTAGTAACAGTTGTGTGTCACAAGGTAATCAAAAAGTGTAAAGTCATTATTTGTGGATTATTAATCAAAAAGGATTTCCTTTAAGCAGCTATATTTATAAACGCCTATTTATAAAGAATGCATGTCTATGAATGCGTATATATTGAGTGTGCACATAGTGTCCTTAAAATATAAAAAAAAACCTGCACAAGATAATTCATTATTAATGAACTAAAAGGTCATTTAAGGGGAGTACAGGACATTATGTACTTAAATATGTACTTGAAGTAAAAAAAAAAGCAAGCTAAAAAGTTAAACTAATTACATTTAATCTCAATTTAAACTATAATAGGCTATGTTTTATTTAATTGCAATTAACATGCAATTAAGTGAAAACATTAGTCAGTTCACACTTGATGTATTCTTTTAAAGTATATATTTCCGTAATAAAGTACCCTAAAGTGTACATTTCTTTTTTCACTAGGGCATATGGATGAATCACCTGCCCTTTTGAAAGGTGCTTCAGGTTACTTATGTATGTTTTTGATACAAGGAACTGTCTGTAAGTCAAGAACACTGATACAATCTCACAGTATAAGAATAATCAATCAATGTGGCTATTTAATCACTGCAAATGAGGAACCTTTACTTTAGCTTATTCGGCTGTTCCACGTTTCTATACATAACCTGAAGTCTGTTATTGAAGTGTTTATCTCTCAGTATCCATCTTTATTGTGCGCGTCATTTTTGAGAAAACTACATTAAGTAAGCATGTGTGTCGGATGAATGGCATGGAGATGTCACATTATCTTGCTCAAGATGAAAGCATATGGTGATACAGAAAATCAAATCATAACTGATAATACAGAGTGCAAAGTTCTGAAAGTATCTGAAGAAAGATATCACTATATGCTGAAAGGGGCATTGTTTAAAGTTTTTAAACAATTCTTCACTCCTGTTTGAAGCAAGAAAGAAATATTAAATTATTTAATAATAATAATATTATATATATACACACAAACACGCACGCACACACACACGCACGCACACACACACACACACACACACACACACACACACACACACACACACACACACACACACACACACACACACACACACACACACACACACACACACACACACACACACACACACACACACACACACACACACACACACACACACACACATATTATATAAACAAAAACTTTTATGTGATTAAATGATTTTACAGCACTAAATATATAATATAATATAATTAATATAATATAATAAAATAAAATAGTCTGAGAAGTTTACTCTTGATCAAAACCTCCATGACAAACATCAACTTACTGCTATAAGGTTCTTATTAAACTGAAAATATACAAATATAAAAATGTAAAACAAGAAACAAAATCACATTGTTGGTGCAAAAAAAGTGGTTTAATAAGACCATTCAGCACCTAAAATACACTTCAAACACAATGAGAATGTGTTATTACAATGTCATATTACATTGACCGAATTCTTTGATCCCCATCTAGTGGAAAATGAAGTAATAGCAGCATGCTTAAGATCACAATTAAACAATATGTGACATAGTGAACAGAGCAGAAAATATACAGATGTTGTGTAAAAGAGGAATGAGAAAGTAAATGAAAGTATCCAGTGGATAAACAAAATACTTTGGTTTGTCAGATCTGTAATAAACCGTAGTTCGGATTATGACTGTATTATAACATCTAATTTCATATGATGAATTGAGATACTAGTGAGATAATAAAATTGACATTCTGTGAGTTTGGGTATAAAGTAGCTTACAACAATAACTATTAGCTTTATTAAGCCTTGTGAAACAATAATGGCAATCAAACAACCAGCTAACATGGACTGTTCTCAGAACTTTGGCTAACGTTCTCTCAAAGTTATGAACAAATGTTCTTCCAGTAACATTAATAGAATGTTGGTTCAAAGTTATCTATAGTTTTTAATAACATTAACAAGAAATTAGCACACATTTTTTTTATATAGGCTACATAATTTAGTACTCACTACTTTTTCAGATGGTTCAGAGATTTCATTGCATACTGCTATAAGGTTCTTTTTGTACTGAAAATATCAAAATAAGAAGCAATAATCACAGATTGTTGGTGCATAGAATATATAAAATACATAATATATTTTAGATATAATATTAGCAGTAATATTTTCTCTAACGCTCACAACCAATACATTTATTTAAAAAAATATTTGTTTTGAACGAGAACATTCAGAAATAACTTGTAATGTTTTCATAACTTAATGGGAACGTTAGCAAAACATTTCTAGAACACATTTTGTTAGCTGAGAAAGGGCCAAAGGTTACACATAAAACCCCTATTCTAACTCTCTCCGTTTGATCAAGATGAAAACATGATCTCCACACAACCTCATCCTGCACTGAAATGGATTTTTCAAGATTTACTAGTGTACTAGCACCAATGACTTTACATTAGAAAGTATACATCATATCTACAGAGAACACATCCCACTGTTTGATATTACATTTGGAGAGCACACAAAACATTATTTTCTTTTAACAGAATGTAAAAGATCAAACCCAACTTGGGTGTATATTATTCTGTTAAGATATTGTTACTCTTTTTCATTTTCTTCTGAGCATTTGAGTTCAAGATAGAGATAGTAAATGCCATCAATTTACTACTAACACTGAAGAGGCCAAATGAATTGTGGGAATATTTGACATCATTTATATTAACATCATACAGAGCTTTTTTTTTTGTTGATAAGTTAGGTCCATGTATTTAATATTGCAATCAGTGGTAAGATGCCATTTCTCAATTAACACAATATTACCTGCAATATAGTTTTTGACAGCTGAAGATGTTTTAAAGCTGATTTACAGTCTATATCTAAAATTTGCATCCTGTTAACAAAACCTGGTAATGATGTCTTGCAGTCAGCGGATCCAACTGTGCATGCTTGCATTGTTTAGATACATTTTTCCCTTCCACATTTTTTTATTTTATTCTTTGAGCTGTTGTTACATTTACATTAATCATGCTGTGATCTTTCTGCATTAATATCAATGCTATTGTTCATTATCTTGTACTTGATTTTCTGGGGAATTTCCATAAGTCATTTATAGAGATAACTTGAAAGATCTACATTCACTAAGAGCACTGACTTTTCCAGGATTGGAAATCACAATGTTCAAATTCCCTGATATTTCCAGGTTTTCCATGTCCGTGGAAACCCTGAATAGAGTTGTTTTTTTTACTTAGTCTCTGTAAAATTTAATTCACACACGTCTAAATTCTAAACATATATATTTATAAATATATTTAGTTCAGTGTAAATTAAATGCTACATTAGAGCTGATTTGCAATTGAAATAATAAACACTGCACAGTGTAAATGCTCTGAATGTTTAAATATATGCAAGGAAGAACCCAAGCATGCGCACCAATCACAATTCAATATGCAAACAGAGCAAGAGAGAAGATCAATCACAAAGCAGTATGCAAACATTTTGATGATAACTTTGCTGCCAGTTAACTTTTAAATTATGAATAGTCAATCACCGTATCAATGGGAGATTTTTAAACTTGTATCTTAATTTTTCTTTTTTAGGTAACACAAGAGGTGAAATTAGTGGTTCAGGCTAAATGAACTATAGATGTTTATAGGCACAGTATGTAATATTGACAGCTAGCGGTTGAAATGGGTACTGCAGTCCAAATTCAAAATATTGGAGAGAGTTGTTTCCCCCGCCCCATCCTCCTCAGACTCGAAGCTCACGCGGGTTGCCAGTTTGAGGACACGCAACAGGAACAGGCGCAATTGACAGTGAGCGACAAATCTAAGTTGATGAGCTCATGTTTTAATATGCCTCTGGTCACAGAGCTTTTTAGATGGATGCCAGCTTTTTTAGGTCGGATAGAATCTGTAATCTCTGACCCAGTTTGTTTGCTAGTTTCCATGGCTGCAATACGCTTTGTTTTCCTCCAACTGGCAACTTGGGGTATCGAAATACTATTGGGTGAATTGGCAATGAGCGGGATAAACATAGCATAGTTTCCTTAATCTCTGCAAACATATTATGATATTTTTATGCTTTAGTATAGTAATATTTTTTTTAAAAAAAGGACATACAGCACCTTTAATATTTAGGGTAAGGGGTTGACCCTGAATATTTGAGGAATATCCAACACGATCTCACGGCAATTCGTACTTATGTTATGAGGTGGCTAATTCGTACGACCTCACTTGTACGAATTTTGCTAAATCGTACGTATTTTATGAGTTGCCCAATTCGTATGATATCGCACGAATGACCTAACCCTTACTCCGCGCCTAAACCTGGGGTTTAGACAAATCGTACGAATTCGTACAAATTAGCCACCTCGTAAAACACGTACGAATTGGTCGTGAATATCAGTAGAGTGCATCGGCTGACAGACACAGAGGATCTCTGCAACTTTTTAGAGCAGGTAATGCAATGCTAAAGCGATAGTTCACCCCAAAATGAACATTTACCGCCATGTGTTTTGGAACCCAGAAATTCTTTGTTCTGTAGAATGCAAAAGAACAAAATTATAGAATGTTACACTTTTACAAACAATTAACGTGAACGGTGACCACAGAAGTCAAGCAAGATTTTTAATGAATAATGATTCACAAAGTACTATCTCAAAACTAGGCTATTATATGACTTAATATGCCCATCCACTTTCACTGGAAGAAAGTGTTAAAGGTTTGGAAAGATGAAGATTTTTCATTTTTGGCTGAACCATCCCTTATAGCATAATGACATATTGGATAGCCCTATCATGTCGATTTCATAAACAACTAAAACATAAAAACCCTTGCTGCTAAAACCTCACTGATCACCAAAGCCCCTACAATATACATACAGATCACATGAGCATGAAGTGTCAAACGTCTCTTAAAGAGTCAATGGGGGCCACTTGAGGTTCAGTGGGAGGGCTGGGGATTTCTTCTATTGGCTCAGATTGAGGTTCTGGCACGTGCTCTGGCATTGGCTCCACTTCTGAGACAAACACCTCCACCTATAAGGTTTGCATGGAATTGGGAAGAAACAGAAGTTCGATTGGTTGACAGGTTCTAGAACTAAAAAAGGAGAGAACTTCACAAATAACGATTACTTTAAAAATGATTATACCAAGTTCTGTCATGAAGCTCTAGATGGCGCATACTGATGGGTCATTAACGCAACCTGCCGACAATTGCATCATTAACTACACGGCACAAGCTGATTGGTTACTGTTGCATCTGTAGCCAATGAGCTTGCTGCTCAACATTTAAATAGTTGGCCAATGTTTGCTGTAGCAGTTTGAAGCGCACTTCACCTTCCCCAGCTCCACCTGTATAGATCTGCTATAAGTAATTTCGGAAACGCTTCCTTTTACAGTACAGTACTTACGTGTACTTACAGTGTACTTGCATAGAAAGTACTGGCTAATATAAGGTAAGTACATGGGTTAGGGGTAGGTTTAGGGGTAGGTTCAGGGTTAGTACCTAGTTATTACCCAGTAATTATAATTACTATAATAAGTACATAGTAAGTACATGGGTAACAGGACTGTAAAAGGAAGCGTTACCGATAACTCTTCCATCATTGAAGAGTTGTCATGATAGAAATAACGATCTACGATAACTAGCATCCACACCAATGGACAATAACTTTCTGTTTATTATGCACACTCTGCAGTTACGTCGTCTGCCGCTTTAAATGCTTGAGCTCTTTAAAGTCGAGTGGATTCTGATTGCCTGTCAGTGTTTCCAAAGATATCATTCCTCTGTGTCTTTATCGTTATAGTTGTGTGGACTTCCATATTGTCAAAGAACAATTACTAAAACTTTATAGTTGTGAACATGCCTTTAAAGCTCTAGCAAGCTCTAGTTTCACATTAGGTCCATTTCGAACCCAATGAAGGTATAGTCCTAAATTAAATCTCAATGTAGGTGAACTTGGTGTACCTGAGGTTGACTAGGGGTGACCGCCTCAGGCTGAGATGGAGCTGCACGCTGTCTAAAACCAGGAAACTGTGGAAAACAGAGTTCATCAATGTATTATATTAGTTTATCGCAGAAAGGATTTGCTCAGACAATTTTGAAGAGCATATTGCAAATCACATTTATACCAAAAGTCTACAAAATTTACCATACTATTTGCATTAAATGGGTAGTTCACACAAAAATGACTCACTCTCATGTTGTTCTAACCAATAAGATTTTTGTTCATCTTCGAAACACAAATGGATACTTTTAATGAAATCTGAGAGATTGCTGTCCCTCCCAATGAAAGACTATTCACCAAAAACTCTAATTTAGGCTTTTGTTAACTTAAACATTGATCAGCAAATATACAGGGCACTTGCTTGATGCTTGAGAACAAACCTCATTGGTTCTTGCAAAACCTCAATCATGCTGGCGTCACATGGAAGAATGAATCTCATTGGTTCTTGCAAAACCTCAATCATGCTGGCGTCACATGGAAGAATGAATCTCATTGGTTCTTTTTTTAACTTCCGTTTACCAAATTTGAGTGATCTATGTATTAGCTGATCAATGTTTATAAATAAAAGCCTAAATTATATCTGTTCATCATATAAAGTGATCATGTCTCTTCAGAAAACTTAAATTAAACCGCTCATTTCATATGGATATCTTTTTACTTTCTCTTAATGAACTTTCTGAAGAAACTCACCCTCATGTTGGATCAACATGAGGGTGAGTAAATGATGACAGAATTTTTGGGTGAACTAAACCTTTAAACACAACAACATCTCCAAAGTCATCACATACCCTACTATTGTGCTTATGTTTAACTGACCTTTACGCCAGCTTTAGCAAGAGCACTGAGTCCAAACAAAATGGTCACAATGCAGATCACCAACTCCACCACAAGAAACAGAACCAAGGTGGCCAAGAAGCCATCAATCAAGAGCTGACAGCACCCAAACGAGACAGAAAAACAAGACAGTGGTTATAACATCTGTCGATTTACCTAAAAGGGCAAAATAGTTACAACAGCTATCAAAACTGATGTGCTTGTCCACGTTTGGAAGTTGCCAAAGAGTTCAACTCTTAAAAACATGCAGACAAGCACACTAGTAAGGCAGGCATTGTTGTAATATAAAAATAAAAAAAATGGACAGAAGATTAGCAAGGGTGACCATTTGAGTTTTCATAGCACATCTGCAAATAATTGAAGGTATCTTTCATTCTGAAGCATTTTCAGACAACTGGCCCAAAGTGCAAAACTGACAAGACTATCTTCAAAATGACCCACACCCTGCTTCCGCATGCATTCACTCTCCTAACACAAATATACGCAAAGCTACTGATCATTTTTTGATAAAGACAATGAAAAACAAGCAGATCCTTAAAGGGTGAATTCAGGCATTTGGGGCTAATGTTAGAGTGGCTGTCACAGTGGTGGCTTAATGTACCTGAATTAACATTATAAGTTTTGTGCTTGAATTTCTGCAAAATGTTTGTCACCTTAAAAACAACAATAACTTAATTTTTTTTAAATGTACCTGTTTTTCTCTCTCTCTCTCGCATTATCAGCAATTATTTAAGCACATTCATGTACACAAAGAAAAACATAAAGGTAAGAATTACTTACTTTACAATTTCTCTCGACAGTATAAGTGCACTTCCTGTAACAATATTGTTGCTTTGGAAAAGCAGACACAAAAAACATAATCATGTTGAATTTTGCCAAATACCTGGCTCACTTTACAAATATAGCTATAAATCTATTATTCATATACAAATGTTGCTGCAAGCACACCCAATTGGTCAATTTAGAAAAACTGTTACAGTTTTTTGGCTTCCTTGACAAACTACAGTGCCCTCAGAAAGGTTTTGGACTTCTGAGATTAGGACAAATCCCATTAACCACAGACTTAATTGGACAGTTATTGTAAAAATATGTTTCTTTTTAAAAAAAAAAACTATTCACTTCTTTTCAGGTATTAGAGTGTATGTTTACAATGTCCAGCCATTGTATACAGGTGGCTGGACATTGCTGGACTTTGCTATAAACATAGACTATAAATATGAGCAGCCTCAAAGTCAAATGTACAGTATCACATAGCCCCCCCAAGCCAAAATAAACAAATAAAATAAAACACACAATATATATATATTCCATATTCTAATACCCCCCTCTTTTTGAATTTATAAAATGGCCATTATGATCACTTTTTGCATGTTTCATATCTGATCTACAATATTTTGTGTAAAAACTTTTTTTTTTTTTTTTTATTGTCCAAATACCTTGAGAGGGCACTGTTTTTATTAATTTCTCCAGCATCAGAAAAAGTCTGTACCAAGTGCAAAGGATCAATATCCATTACTCTATTCTGTTATAAATATATAAGACAAAATATAAATTACAAAGCAGAACAAATGAATAGGAGCGATGTTAACATATTTGGTTACATCTTCAGCAATTCATATCTTTCTATATTTCTCAAAAATTGATAAACCACTTAATATTCTGCCTAAAAAAATTAATTTCCAAGCAAACTGCTTAAATTGCTTTCCTATTCAAAGCAATTTAATAAAGTATGTTGTGTAAACCCACATCAAAAAATATATGTCACTACCCCAAATAACAACATTACCTGTATTTTTTCACTTTATATTTCATTCAGAAACTTTATATTAATTTCAACAACATAATCCTTCACTTCATCAAGCATGTATTTTACAATATGGAAAAAAAGAAGAAGAAAAAAAATCACACTGATTAAAGAAATTAACAGAAGATTTAATCTAATTTTAAAATAAAGTTTAAGCAAACAAAAATTATACGAAAACTTCAGCTTCCAACTCCACTTCTTTTTTTTATTTTCTTATTTCATGTTGTTTAACTCCACTGCACTGCACTGCACATTCTTAAAAAATCTTCAACCATCTGAACCACTTGGCCTTTTGACAGACAGAACATCATTATGCTTTTTATTGAAAGTCTATGTTTTGCACTTCGGTACAGTCCTTTGAAAAGGCATCAAGGAAATTTCTTACAGAAAAAACTGTAACAAGAAAGTTGATGTGGCCAGTTCATCACATCATACCCACTTTACAGTGTTTCATCCATCCCACTGCAGCCAAAACACACCCACATGCATTCATCATTAATGTAATGTATGCATGATCTATATCTGCAGGTCTATGTATGTGTGCAAAAATACACAAACACATCTTCCAATAATGCAAGCAGCTCAACAGTGCAGTAACAGAGTAGCAGATCTGTGAGCTCACCACAGCATAGATCTCCAGTCTCCTGCAGTGCTCACAGTGGTAAGTGTCCTGACGGTAAGGCAGGTGACGGGACAGCAGCCCAAGAACAGCAGTGGAAAACGCTGCACTGACCAGGTGAGCAACCAGTGTGGCTTTCACCTTCACACGATGGGACAGAAGTTACTGTACAGTGTGATTCGTCAAAACATTGAAAAGGGAAACTCAGTACTGAGAAAAGACTGAAATATAATGCCAGTCAAAAGTTTGGACATACCTACTTTCTTTATTACGATTATTTTCCACATTTGAATAGTCATCAGATCAAACTATGAATGGAAGTATGTGAATTATAGGGACCAAAAATAAATAAACAGATCAAAACTTGCTTGTATTCGAGCTTCTTTTTTGTAGCTTGGCTTGAAATCTTTGAAGAAGTTCATATGTATGATGTAATTGTTAGCGGCCTATCCTTTACTATCTGCTCCAAAATGAATAAAAAAAAAACACCAAAAAACTTAAGAAAATCCTAAACCAGGGTTGCCAGGTTTGCGTAACAAAACATGCCCAATTGCTTTTCCAAAACCGCCCAATCACGGCCAAAAAAATATAAATTGGTCGCTTCAACAAGCGGCAACAGTGTAAAAGTAGCTTAATTCCACAGGAAAACCCCGGACTTGGCAACACTGTCCTAAACAGGCACAATTTCTATTTTTCAACAAATCTAATTTCAATCATTTAAACATTAGCATTCACTATCTGCTCAAAACAAAACATTCCAAATTATTATTTTTTTTGCAAAACTAATAACAATGATTTGTGTAATTAAGACGGGAAAAAACGAGTCAATCGCGTCCAAACATTTGTCTGGTCTGTTCAGAGTTGGTAATTATGTAGGTATTTTCATTGGTTCTGCAATCCTTTTAATTTGTACTCACCCAAAACAGTGATGGAAACCTTCCAGTATGGATTAAAATGGATCCAGACACGAGCAACTGATAACAACAGATTAAAAAATTATTGTTTGCTACATACATAGCAACAATTTGATTCAATAGATTAAACCCAGATTAAACCCTGTTTTAAAACAAATGAAATAAACACTAGTACATTCAGCTTACCTGAGCAACAATCACTACCACAACGATGACATCAGGAGAGAAGTGGACCTCTTCATAGAGCTGAAGAATGGTGACGCTCAGACACAAGCACAAGACACCAATAATGATCTGAATGGACTGAAACAACACAACAAGATAAACTTGGTATGTTTCCAAAAAGCCCATTAGATTTAATTCAGTTTTTCGTATTGTAAAGGCTCATGTGAAATAACTGGTATATAAAGATACTCCTGTGCACTTTTTCCTGCATTCAGTATCAGATTTGTTGGGGTGTTGAATGTGAAACTCACCCCCAGTGCCTTCGGCTCCACATTCTGAAATGCCTTGACCTGCTTTGGCGTCAGAACTCCTGGAGGGCGCGTGGGACCCTCACTCTCAATGCCCATGCTGATGTCAGGCAGTTTGAGATGTGGCTACGCTAAGATCAAGAAATACACTTTGAGATCTCTTGATTTAGATGGAGGAACCTAAAGTGAATGGGGAAACAGACAGAAATGAGAACAAAGACAGATGGAGGCAGCAGCGCAGGGCAGAATGAAAAGGGGTGATATATGGATGACTGAGCATTTAACCTAAAACAGGTCATGCTCATGGTGCAATTTGTGCCTGAAATCATATCTTTTCTCAGGCCCAAAGATCCACCAGAGGAACGCAATAATCAGATTAGACCAATTTCAATGGACTATTCTTAAACTATCACCCACAATCTAAAAAAAAAAAAAATCTGTTACAGGGTTAATAGGCTTTAGTTTATAGAATTATATATACTTTTTACTGTACGTTGCCATTATTCCATTATGAAAACCCTTTGAGTTGAACTTGACTGGGGCAAAATAAGCTTCAATCTATTGAATTAAAATGGTTGATTAGTTCATGACAGTTTGTATAGACACCATTTGAGCATTTGAGATGCAACACAAGACAAGATGATTCTATTTATACTAAACATCCAAAATGATCCGTGAGAGAAAACATAAAGAAACTAATCCGACATGGAGACAATATACACCTTCTGAACCCTCATAACTGTGGAGAGCATCTAGACACCCTTTCAAAAAGCCTCTGAGGAACAAGATTGAACCCACAAGTTCCTACGAAAACTCTACGGATTGTGGTTCTTCCATTAACCCCATCATGGCATCTTATACCGCAAATCCTCTCCTTTATGATACACTATTTTATACGCTATTTTTAATGTTTCATTTTGTCATTTAATCTGAATATCACCATATGTGAGATTTAAGCAGTTTTGAGGTTAATTTATCTAATTTGGTGAATATTTGGTGATATGTGACACTGTTGAATATATATATTTTTGTCTATTAATGAGTGATTTGTGGACACATTAATATTTTATGACTTGTGGAGTAAGTTAGTTTTTATTTTGAAGTAAAATGATCAAATTAGACCCTTGGGGTAAGATGACCCCCACCCACTTAACTATTTTTAAATTTAATAATTAATTAATTGGGGTTATTATTCAGCATTTCCATGATAGATGTACATTTCAGGCACCTTTGCTTTCATTAAAACCAACAGGTTAGTGAAGTGAAATCATTCGGGCTATTGTGACATATCTTCAGTTAAAATATGGGCAATTAAATGTAAATATGAATATGCCTGAATAGAAGTCATAAAATAATTTTGCCTTTCAGATTAATGTATTTTACTGATACATTCATGTATTTTAATGTATTCTCCTTTGTCATCAGTTATTCAATTAGGCTATTATCAAAATTAAAAATTAATAGGCTACAATAATTTTTAGTTTTTTACATTAATGACACGTTCTTGGGGGCATCATCCCCCATCACACACACACACCTATAAAATGGAATTATGATTTTTTTTGTTTAAATATTTATGATGCAGAGAGTAGATTATTAGAGATTTCATTTTAAACATTCACAAACAAAGTGGACATCTTTACATATTTCTAGTGCGAAAGTGTGTTGAATGTAGCCTATCATATAACCATCAGCTAAGCATCGTATTCCCCATTTTCAAGTGATGATGTATTATGTTTTAAGTGGTTTCTTGGCCTCGGAGCGGAGGCCAGAGGAGCAGACAAAAATAGACATGGCAAAACGTGCAGCTTCATCACTCTCCTCATCCGCAGTGCCCCGCACTATGACAGAACATGCAACTTTATTACGAGCATAATACCTGCGATATGAATAACGCCAAGCCGAGCGGCAGACTCAATGCGACTCACCAGTGCTTCATTCTGGTTTCCAAATCCTAAACGTGTGTAACCTTCAGCGCTGTCATAGGTGGGGCCGCACACATGTCGACTATACGTCCTGTCCCAAATCGAGATTCGTTCAAATACATGCGTGATGTTACTTACCTCTGCAGCTCAAGTAAAACGCGTTGCTTTGTGGTTCGTTTTCTCTTTAAAGGCGAAAGTGCAGCATTCAGTTATTCCATCCGCGACGTGGTTGAAGGGAAACAACTAGTTAATTGTATGGGTGTGAGGCATGCGGGTTACGTGCAGTACCGCAGTGAGGAGGAGGCTGGTGCTCTGCATCGGTATGGATGGAGACAGACTCAAAGTGATGCGGCGCTATGGCAACTTAACTCACTCGCATCTACACGCGACACAATAGAACAGGGGTTTGTTACATTGTTTTTTCTACTCACCAATACAGTGCTGTAATGTAGCTAGCTAGTAGATTATTATTATTTTTTTTCCATCAATGTTTCATTAATTTAATTTAGTTTAATCAATTTTTTTATTATTTATTTTCACATTTTTAAACAATTTGTCTTTCTTTTAAAAGGTATATTTCACTCCAAAAACGACAATTGTGTAATCATTTACTCACCCTCAGGTTGTTCCAAATCTGTATGAGTTTTTTGCTTCTGTTGGAAGATATTTAAAAAAAATGTTGGTAACCAGACAGTTGACGGCACCCATTGACTTCCATAGTATTTATTTGCTACCATGTAAGTCAGTGGGTGCCGTCAACTGTTTGGTTACCAACATTCTTTAAAATATGTTCTTTTGTGTTTAACAGAAGAAAGAAACTCATACAGGTTTGAAACAACTTGAGGGTGAGTAATGACAAAAAATTTCATTTTTGCGTGAAATGTCCCTTTAAGGGAACATCTAAACAATCATGCTGTTTAAAAACCCACACCATGGCTGCTGGTAAACTGATATTCAAAAGGTCTACCGTATGGCAAATGTGATTTTGCTTTTATAACAGCAGTTAAAGTTTAATAAACAATATCTATCTATTAACTTATGTTTCAAGCAAAATGATCAGTTAGTTTATTAAGTCCAGTTATAGTCTATAATGCTCAGAATGGAATTTCACTGCTAAAAACTAATATGTCAGTGCATAATGTTGGTTCTCATAAAAAGTCAGTTCTTTAAAAATCGGTCACAGTGCATTTACATTAGAAATATCACCAGTTGAAGAGCACTTGAAAGTTTATTTATGGTCTATAGATTTTCACTTTTGTCTTCTGATGCCACCTAGTGGCAATAAAATCCTTTTTTTTAAGGAAAGTTGTAGTAAACACTTTAAATCAATATCTTTTATTTTCAAAACAGCCTGCTTTTGGAGGCTATAAAAAAATAAACAGAATCTTTCAATAACAGTGGCATGCAGGGGAATGCATCAAGTCCCGTGACAGACTTCACATATTGGGCTTCGATTGGGACTCAGTTATCCAGCTAAAGACAAACAGAAAATGAAATTGTTCTTTGAACTACTAGAAAGAACATGTTCTCCATTCTCTGATTGTAAAACACAGATTTGGCAATATCACAATTTACAAGGGATTTCCCCAGAATGAAGACTTCAAATTCGTACCGTTCAGGGACAAATCACAGGCTGGGAAAGAAAACAACAAACAAAAGATTGGTTTAGGTCACTCTCACATAGAAGTAGCAATCAGGCCCAATATACTGATGTGCAAAGGCAATTTAAACAGAGCCAATTTAAAAAATAATAATAATCATAATTAAGACCAAAATCGGGTTTGTCTACAATTTGTTCTGTAAAGAATTCAGTTTGCCTCAACTATGCTCCGATGCTGAAAATGTGACAAAATGTTCGTAGTTACTGTGAATTGCCATTAGGTTATAGTGAAGTGGTCAATAATGAACGAGGTACTGACATAACACTTTTGAGTATAATTTTTTACATTGAGTTAATCTTATGTTGAAATATAAATGATAGAGACACAACTACCCGTACTTACACATGACCGATCAGCACAACTTTTTTATGCATTACACAAAATACTTAAAAAATAAACCACTTGAAAAGCATCTTTGAAAGCTTCATTTTTTGCATTGGTGCAAAGTTAAAGGTATAGTCCATCCAAAAATGAAAATTCTGTCAGCATTTACATACCCTCGTGTTGTTTCAACCTTTTTGACTTTCTTTGTTCTGTGGAGCTTTAAAGATATTTTGAAGAAAGTTGGTAGCCAAACAGTTCCGGTTCCCATTGACTTCCATTATATATAAGTGAAAGTCAATGGGAAGTAAAACTCTTTGGTTCTCAACATTCTTCAAAGTAACTTCTCTTGTGTTCCATAGAAGGAATTAAGTCATAAAGGTTTGGAAAGAGAGGAGGATGAGTAAATTATGACATACATTTCTTTTTTGGGTGTCCCTTTAAGACTATAAAAATGAAAAAGAAAACATACCTCGTCTTGACATTTAAAATGTGAAATCAGACAAGAATAAGGAACAAAGGCAAAGACTAAAAAAGATGTGCGATATAGAACAAGGTAGACAGTACTGGAAACTGAATATTTTATGCGAATGGAAAATATGAAAGTTCGAAAAGTTGTTTTTGAATTAAACATTTCTAAGCCTCTCTTAGGAAATGTTAGAAATTAAAAATTTTAAGGTCCATTAATTTTTATTTTAAGATTTTTTAAACTGAGCTGAATCAACTTTCTAATATCAATTAAAAAGGTTGAAGAGATCAATGAAAATCTTAAACAGTCCATCTATATATTTCACTTATGTTTGCCTGAAAGTGATTTAAGAGAGGCATAAAATCTGATACACTTTAGACTGAAACAAACAGTTGTCACATAAATTACAGCTTAAATATTAACAAACTGAAAATGCACTAGTACCTAGAGTTCAAGATCTTCGAGTCTTACAGTTCCAAAAAGTTTGTAAAAGGTCCAATGTGCCATTTTGTACCATTTTTTTTTTTTTTTTACCAGTTGATCCTGCACAAGTGGTTCAGCGAAAGGGCTTGATACAGCAGAAGCCCGGTTTGGCTCAGAAAAGAGGTTTACATCACAGTGTCCGCCCTCAGATGGGTGTGTTGGGTAGGTGACCGTTGGAGGCGTTCAGCATACTGTTGCTCAGCGTGATGGGAGATTTGCCATTATGTGCCTGACCATTGTGGGACTGTACGTTAGGAGCTTGTCCGTTCCGCTTTTCCAAATGTGGCGAATGCCCTCTGAGAGACTCTCTCTCCTGGGGCGTCGCACTTCCTCCCTTTTCGGCGTCCCTGCGAGAAGAAGGAGTCTGTGGGACCGTCCTGCTGTGGCAAAGATGTCTGAACCTGTTAACTGCGATGGTCAGCAAGGCACTGATGCACAGAGCTAACAGAACGGACACCACCACTAGCTCCTGCAAGTAGGTGGGTTTGTTCACTTGCTGGAGGTTTCCACCAGCCTCAATCATTCGTGAGTTTTCCTCGTTCATCCCAGACAAGTGGGTGAAATTTCTACTTTCTACTTTTGCCAGCGAATCTTTGTGTGTGACAGTAGGATCCACATCTTCTGGTTTAGGCCTCGGCTCCGTCTGCTTGGGTATCATCCACCTGGGAGTGGGCATGGGGGTTTTATTTCCCGTTTCGGCAGCCGGGGTGTTCTGCGGGCGGCTCGGGGAAGCTGCTAGGATGGTGGGGTTGCTCTTCTGTTTAACATGGTAGACGGTCAGTGTTTGGGTGTAGCCGTTCTCCACAGCCTGACACAGGTAGTGTCCCAGGGTGGACGGGGTCGCCACAAAGCTGAGGCTGCCGGTGTCTGGCTGGATGTAGATTTTGGGCGAGAGTTGGCTGTTAAGACGCTCCCAGTGGCGTTTGGCGAGGTGTGACGCTTCCGGGCACTGCAGGTGCACTACCTCGTTTAGACACACAGACACCACTTCACCTGGAAGACACACAGGGGGTCAAGGGTCAGCATACACACGAAACCACGATAGCAACACAGGCATGCAGTTAAACCGGTACTCTGTATGGCACTTTTACATGAGTAAGAACAAAACAGGGCTTGAAAAGAAGGTGCTTAACCTTCAGAAAAAGTTGAATGTCAAAAGGTCAAATTAAATATACAATTAAATTTCTATAATATAATTAAATATGATATATTTTGATTTGCTTTATATTTAACTTTACATTTTTGCAACCCTGTTAGCTACATGTGGTACATAACTAAATCTAAATAGTGAATATTTTCTAGAATTTATATTACAAAACCACAAAAATTACAATTCAATTTAAATGCATTTACATTTAAATTTAAAACAAAAGGTTACACATTTATTTAAGATTATGTTATGCTAAATTAGGTTACACATTTATTATTAACAGTTACATGGAAATATTACAATACTACAATTTGTGAGAAAATTAAGGCCATGGAATGAAATCGCTTGTCTGTCACACGTTTATGATTTTTTTTTTCTTAATAGAGGAAAAATCATGTGGTAACAGGGTTGTGTGACAGCTAAATGTGTGACAAATGTGTGACAGCTAAATATTACGTTTTTGGTTATGTTCTTTCCCCCTTAAAAGAAATAAATATTTCAATATTGTGGCAAGATTTTGACATTGTTTTATGATATTATTGTTAATTTTTGAATGCAGAAATTTCATGGAAAATGCCATAAATAGTAAAGAATACACTTCAAGATCTAAGTAAAAATGAGACAAACAAGAATATTTCAAGGACTTCTGTTGAGGTTACCCAAGTACCACATTTGCAACTGCAATAAATGTAATTGAGATTAAATTATGAGTAAATTAATGGTACAAATTTAAAAAGGATAGAATTTGGGACTCTTGGAATAAAAACCAGCATTTATACACTGATATCTAAACATTATAAAGATGTACACAAACTGTACTCACTTGAAGGGGTTCGGGGCTGGCCAGAGCGTGACCTGGGGGTCACATTTTTACACTGCTCTGACACATTACCCTCATCTACATCCTGGACACTGTGAAAAGCAGTGAAGGAGAGATTAAAAACAAAGGACAGCGGTATGCTGAAGTAACCCAATCATTGTGAAT